AGTCATTCCATGGTTTCACAGATGACTCCCAAATCTATCTAAGAAGCCCAAACTTCTCTCCTTAGAGCTAGATCTGCACATGGAAATACCTCCCCACATCTCCATTTGAATGTTCACTCTGTCCCTGATCTATCCAGAGAAATCAAGTAAGATAAAGTGTTCATAAACCTTAGTGAAGAGGTGGTCATTGGTTACCTTTGCCAGCGCAATCCCATGTGGCAGTTTCAAGATATTAGTGAGTTTAAGAGTAAGTGGACTTAGGGGCATGGTTTGTGGGCCTCTCCAGTCAACTGACCTAATATTGTTTTTACAGTTTCTGCTCTACCTGCTAGTTCAGTGAGTAGTGCCTGGGGTCTTAAAATTTCGGGAGCAGCCACCCAAGATATAATTGGTCTCTTTTTGACCAGAGCAACAAAGGAAGAAAGAGACCCAGGAATGAGAGAAGGAAATGGATTGCAGGTCTAATTGCTTTCGTGAACCACTACCTCCTTTGTCATGAGACCAGAAGAAATGGTAGCATCTGGCTACCATTACTGAATGTTTTGATCAAGGACCCAATAGTTGGAACTTGATCAAAAGGAGGAAAAAATGTGGAACATAACTTCAAATTCTTATTAGAAATCAGACTTAACTGGATACATTAAAACTAGAGGAAACCCAAATCTGTTGCCTGGCAACAACTTTTAAGCTTTGAACCAAAACTATCTCATGAAGTCATCTTTAAACTAAACAACAATTTAGCTCATTTAATAAAGAATGTTTGCCTTGAGCATTGCACTCTTTTAAAGAAATATCTATATAAGATTAAATGGACAGCAGTAACTCTAAAACACAGATGAGAATTTTAAGGGGCAGAGAGACTAAGTTAAGGGTGGTGAAACAATAAGAGCACAGATAGTGACACAATGTGAAGGATGTAAACATTGTCAATGAACCATACATGTAAAAATAGTTGAATGGGAGTACGTTTTGTTGTGTATACTTTCACGAAATATAAAATTTTTAAAAAGTACTAAAGGGAAAAAAACGAGTAAGTGGAAGGTGAAAAATAGGGAAGAATATGTGTAAAGGAATTGATCTATCACAAAAATTATCTGTGAGGAGAAAGAAAGAGAAAGGGCTAATATAGAGTTGAAGAAGAGTTTGTCTCTCTTTTATTTTTAATGGAAGACACTTGAGTATGCTTGACTGAGGTAGACAGTAATAAAGATACCAGGGAGACAGGACAATTGATAAGACAAGTTCCTTGAAGTGGGAGAATTAGTCTTGGAGGAAAGTTACTTCATAGGCTGCGATCAGAAGGAAGACTGTAAGAATAGGTATAATACAATTAAGTTTGCAGGGGTGAGAGAAAGGCAGTTGAGAGAATTCATACTGGTTGGCCTTTTATAGTATATACAATGAATGTATATATTTTTCTTCAAAATGGTATAGATTTTAGGTGTAGAGCCATTTTACTTCCATAGCCTATCACACAGCACATTTTATTGTTACTTCTCATAAATATAAATAAGTTTTTATGAAAAAACATCATTCTGAAAATTTCTCTAAAGTAGGCAAAAGCATAATTTTCTGTAAATTTTCATTAAAAAGACAAGAAAGAAAAAAAAAACCAAAACGGATGTCAGAAGAGACTCTGAAACTTGCTCTTGAAGGTCAAGTAACTAAGCATGGAAGAAATGATGAAGTAAAAGAGCTGAACAGAAGATTTCAAAAGGCGGCTTGAGAAGACAAAGCAAAGTATTATAATGACATGTACAAAGACCAGGAGGTAAAAAAACAAAAGAGAAGAACACGCTTGGCATTTCTCAAGCTGAAAGAACCGAAGAAAAAATTCAAGCCTCCAGCTGCAGTATTGAAGGATTCTATGGGGAAAATATTAAATGACACAGGAAGCATCAAAAGAAGATGGAAGGAATACACAAAATAATACCAAAAAGAATTAGTTGATGTTCAAGCATTTCAGGAGGTAGCATATGATCAGGAACCCATGGTACTGAAGAAGGGGTCCATGCTGCATTGAAGGCATTGGTGAAAAACAAGCCTCCAGGAATTAACAGAATACCAACTGAGATGTTTCAACAAATGGATGCAGCACTGGAAGTGCTCACTCGTCTATGCTAAGAAATTTGGAAGACGGCTACCTAGCCAATCTACGGGAAGAGATCCATATTTATGTCTATTCCCAAGAAAGGTGATTCAGCCGAATGCGGAAATTATTGAACAATATCATTAATAACACACGCAAGTTAAAGTTTGCTGAAGATCATTCAAAAGCAGCTGCAGTGGTATATAGACAGAGAATTGCCAGAAATTCAAGCTGGATTCAGAAGAGGACATGGAACCAGGGATATCATTGCTTATGTCAGATGGATCGTGACTGAAAGCAGAGAATACCAAAAAGATGTTTACCTTTGTTTTATTGACCATGCAAAGGCATTTGATTGTGTGGATTATAACAAATTATGGATAACGTTGCAAAGCATGGGAATTCCAGAACACTTAATTGTGCTCATGAGGAACCTGTACATAGATCAAGAGGCAGTCATTCAAATAGAACAAAGGGATGTTGCGTGGTTTACAGTCAGGAAAGGTGTGCATCCGCGTTGTATCCTTTCACCATACTTATTCAATCTGTATGCTGAGCAAATAATCCGAGAACCTGGACTATATGAAGAAGAACAGGGCATCAAGATTGGAGGAAGACTCATTAACAGCCTGAGTTATGCAGATAACACAACCGTGCTTACTGAAAATGAAAAGGACTTGAAGCACTTACTGATGGAGATCAAAGACCACAGTCGTCAGTATGGATTACATCTCAACATAAAGAAAACAAAAATCCTCACAACTGGACCAATAAGCAACATCATGATAAGCAGAGAAAAGACTAAAGTTGTCAAGGATTTCATTTTACTTGGACCCACAATCAACACCCATGGAAGCAGCAGTCAAGAAATCAAAAGATGCATTGCATTGGGCAAATCTGCTACAAAATACCTCTTTAAAGTGTTGAAAAGCAAAGATGTCACCTTGAAGACTAAGGTGCACCTGACCCAAACCATGGTGTTTTCAATCACCTCATATGCATGTGAAAGCTAGACGATGAATAAGGAAGCCTGAAGAAGAACTGATGCCTTTGAATTCTGGTGTTGGAGGAGAATACTGAATATACCATGGACTGCCAAAAGAAGTACAACCAGAATGGTCCTTAGAAGCAAGGATGGAGAAACTTTGTCTCATGTACTTTGGACATGTTATTAGGAGAGACTAGTCCCCGGAGAAGGACATTATGCTTGGAAAAGTAGAGGGTCAGTGAAAAATAGGAAGACCCTCAATGAGATGGATTGACACAGCGGCTGTAACAATGGGCTCAAGTGTAACAATGATTGTGAGGATGATACAGGACGGGGCAGTATTTTGCTCTGTTGTACATTGGGTTGCTATGAGTTGGAACCGACAGTACACAGATACCCCTGCCAAGTACCAAGGTAGTAAGAGCAGATGTTGTATACAGTCTAGACTATAAGCCCCATGATGGCAGAAACCATGCTTTCTTGATTACTATTGGTCCCACAGGGCTCAGCACAGTACAAGGTATATTATATGGTTGTAATAAATACTTATAAACCCTAAATAATCATTAGGATTCATCTGGATTCACGTATTTCTGATATAAACAGTATTTCTTTACAATCCTTGAATTAGGTTTTTTGTTGGGTTTATTTTATTTTCAAAGTTGTCTTTAGGAATAACTTAAATGAGAAATTATGGATAAATTATAATCAAGTTTTCTAAATAATAACATTATAGATACCACAAAGTAATTTTAAATATCCTGTATGTTATAAACAAACTATAAGATTTTCATTTTGACCACTAATCCCCCTTATTAGTCAGAATGTTGTTGTTGGGTGCTGTCAAGACGATTCCAATTCACAGTGACCCAGCGTAACAGAACATAACTGCCCCATAGGGTTTTCTTGACGGTAATTTTTACGGAAGCAGATCACCAGGTCTTTCTCCTGTGGAGCCACTGGATGGGTTCGAACTGCCGATATTTCAGTTTCCAGCAGAGAGCTTAACCGTTGCACCAAGAAAGGGCTCCTTTTAGTCAGAATAGCTGGGTAATTGGCTCTAAGTCAGATGGATATCTTTTGTCATTTCTGTATGTTTCTATGGACTTATAACCCCCTGCATATGGCTCCATATCTAGTCATCACCACCTTTAAAGACATTTTTGGCACTAACACAAATCCTTGCAGCCCATGTTCTTTTTCTCCTACAATTCTACCATGAGTTTTCTCTCATTTCATGTGGCTGAGTGTAAATGCTGGATTCAGGTTGCCTGAGTTCCAACCTCGGCTCTAATTCTTACCAGCTGTGTGATTGTGGACAAGTTCTTTAACCTCTCTAAGCTTTGGCTTCCTCTCTATACAATGCGAATATTAAAAGTACTTACCTCATTCAAATTTTCAAAAAATCCACATTTACTGGAACCACTGAGACTGGTGGAATTCTCAAGAGTGTTGACCTGAGATATTTTCTTTAAGCCTTGAACTGAAACTATCCCTTCAAGTAACCTTTTAGCTAAATGGCACGTTACCTCATAATGTAATGAATAGCATCCTTGAGTACTGCACCCTTAAAAAATCATCTATACTAGACCAAATGGTAACCAAATACTCCAAAGCACAGACGAGAATATTGGGCAGGGCTGTGAGACTAGGTTAAAGAGAATGGAACAACTAGAATAGAAATAATGAGAATGTTGATACAATGTGAAGAATGTAATCAATGTCACTGAACAGTATGTGTAGAAATTGTTGAATGGGAACCTGTTTTGCGGTGTACACTTCCACCGAAAATACAACAAAATACTATTTTAAAAAAGTACTTACCTCAGAGAGTTGCTATGATGTAGAAATACAATAATTTCTGAAAATATTGAGAACATTTCCTGGCATGTGATAAGCATTAAATATACCTGGCCTTACCTTTTTTTTTTTGTAATTCCCTTTTTCCTTCTTATGCATTATCTCTCTCTGCAACTTTTCTTTGGTAATGACTTAGGATGGGTTCTCTAGAGAAGCAAAACCAGTAAAGTGTATAAATATGTATACATACAGAGGGAGAGAGATTTATATTAAGGAAATGGCACACGCGGTTGTAGAGGGTAGAATATGGATCAGGCTGGAGGTTTCTTCTGATTCATGTAGCTGCAAAGGCTAGTGAACCCAAGATTGACAAGTCACACAGCAGGGCTCTGGCTCACAAGCTGCAAAGACTGATGAATTTCAAGATCAGCAGGCAAGACGGCAGGTAAGCTGCTAACTCAAGTCTCAAGAACTGGAGGTCCGACAAACAGGAGTCAGCTTCAGGATCCAGTGCGAGCAAAAACCCATGAGCCTTGCCAGAAAGTCCACTTATATTGGATGCAAGCCACACCTCCAAGGAAACTCCCTTTCAACTGATTGGCTACTCACAGCAGATCCTATCATGGAGGTGATCACATATATCAAATCTCATCATGGAGGTGATGACATTATCATACGACTGTCAAACTACATCATAATTGCAAAACCACTGAGAATCATGGCCCAGCCAAGTTGACACACAACCTTAACAATCACGGTCCACCCCTTGTCAACTTAGCATCTGTACACATCTCCTTAAACCATACATAATCTCTGAATAAAGATAATTATAAACTCACACTTGCACCTAACATGACATAACGAACACACACACAACTGAAAATGCATTAGCCCTGTTTACATCTTATATTTTATAAGTAAAAAAAGAAAAAAATTGACGCACACATAAAAGGCAGAAATACTCTAACAATTACAGTTCTCATTTCTGCAACTGGTCACATGGTCATAACTGGTATTTAGAACTACCTTCTCCCACCACCCATTCTGTATTCCCTTTGCCCTCAGCAAGCACCTCAGCTGGTCGTGGTTCTTTGCCTGGTGGGGTGACCCAAACTTTCATCCCAGAAGGGTCTAGCCATTAGTAGTCATGTTGGAATTGGGTTGGTATAGTTTTCCATTGACTTTAATCACAGCATGTGGTAGTACTAAGAGATGCCCTAAGGGATCCCCTGCATTCCAGACATACGCTTCTTTGCCTCCATTATATAATATCAATCCACTTTCCTCTTGATAATCAGGATCAAGCACACCAGCCAATATGTTAACTCCCTTCTTTGCCTGTTGATCCAGAGGCATAAGGAGCCCAAAGTGGCCAGGTGGTATTCTTAACTTCCAGTTCAATGGAATCAGTGATGTGTCTCCAGGTGGGAGCATTCCTCCCTTTGGAACTAAGACCTCTAGACCTGCAGAGCATAGTGTTGTGGAAATATTTTGTGAGGAGTCACCAGGGGTAACAGTGAGTGGTGCCACTCCCATTTCCACCCCTTGAATCCTGGACCCATGAATCCTGGCTATGGGAGAAACAGCACCTTATATTAGACACTGGTTCAGAGCATATACAGCCTCCTGGAGAACACTGCCCCAACTCTGCAAGGTATTGTCACTTAGCTGGCACCATAACTGTGTCCTTGGAAGGCCATTCCATCATTCTTTCTATCAATCCGGCTGCTTCAGGATGATGGGGAACATTGTAAGACCAGTGAATTCCATGAGCATGGGCCCACTGTTGCACTTCATTTTCTGTGAAGTGAGTCCCCTGATCTGAGGCAATGCTGTGTGGAATATCATGATGGTGGATAAGGCATTCTGTAAGTCCACAGATGGTAGTTTTGGCAGGAGCATTGCGTGCAGGGAAGGCAAATCCGTATCCAGAGTAAGTGTCTATTCCCGGAAGGACAAAACACTGTCCTTTCCATGATGGAAGCTGTCCAATGTAATCAGTCTGCCACCAGGTTGCTGCCTGATCACTTTGAGGGGACTGAGTGTTGGTCTCTGCTGCTGGCAGATTGAGCAATCAGCAGTGGCTGTAGCCAGGTCGGCCTTGGTGAGTGAAAGGCCGTGTTGACAAGCCCAGGCATAAGCTCCGTCCCTGCCACCATAGCCACTTTGTTCAGCAGCCCTTTGGGCAACGACAGGAGTGGATGGGGAAAGAGGATGACTGGTTTCCACAGAATGTGTCATCCAATCTACTTGATTGTTAAAATCTTCCTCCTCTGATGTCATCCTTTGGTGAGTATTCACATGAGACACAAATATCTTCACTTCTTTGGCCCATTCAGAGAGGTCTATCCATATACTTCTTCCCCACACCTCCTTGTCTCCAATTTTTCAGTCATGTTCCTTCCAAGTCCCTGACCATCCAGCCAAACTATTGGCCACAGCCCATGAATCAGTATACAATCACACATCTGGCTGTTTGTCCTTCCAAGCAAAGTGAACAACCAGGTGCACTGCTTGAAGTTCTGCCCATTGGGAGGACTTCCCTTCACCACCATCCTTCAGGGAGGTCCTGGAAACAGGCTGTAGTGCCACCGCTGACCATTTTCCAGTGATGCCTGGATATCGTGCAGAACCATCTGTAAACCAGGCATAAGTTTTCTCTTCCTCAGTCAACTGGTCATAAAGAACTCCCGGTAAGGCCATAGGTACAGGCTGGGAGGTGGAAGGTAATGTGACTGGAGTGGAAACCATTGGCGTTTGGGCCACTTCTTCATGCAGCTTACTGGTGCCTTCAGGTCCTGATCAGGCCCAATCTCATATATACCACTTCCATTTAATGATGGAATTCTACTGTGCATGTCCAACTTTATGATTCTGTGGGTCAGACAACACTCAGTTCATGATTGGCAGCTCAGGTCACATGGTGACTTGGTGGCTCATGGTTAAGTGTTCAGTCTCTACTAAGGCCCAGTAACAAGCCAAAAGCTATTTCTCAAAAGGAGAGTAGTTATCTGCAGAGGATGACAGGGCTTTGCTCCAAAATCTTAAGAGTTTGTGCTGTGATTCACCAATAGGGGCCTGCCAAAGACCCCAAACAGCATCTCTATCTGCCACTGACACTTCAAGCACCAGTGGGTCAGCCAGATAATATGGCCCAAGTAGCAGAGCCACTTTCACGGCAGCCTGAACCTGTTGCAGAGCCTTCTCTTGTTCTGGGCCCCACTCAAAACTAGCAGCTTTTCGAGTCACCTGATAAATAGGCCAGAGTGATACACACAAGTGAGGGATATGTTGCCTCCTTTTTATTGTGGGAGGTGACAGATGCAATAACTTATCCTTCACTTTAGAAGGAATAGCTCGACATGCCCCACACTGCTGAACCCCTAGAAATTTCACTGAAGTAGAAAGTGCCTGAATTTTTGTCAGATTAATTCCCCACCCTCTAGCACAAAAATACTTTACCAATAAGTCCTGAGTCAATTGACACTTCTTCCTTACTAGGTCCAATCAGCATAATATCATCAGTGTAATGGACCAGTGTGACATCTTGTGGAAGAGAAAGGTTATCAAGGTCCCTGCCGACTAAATTATGACATAAGGCTGGAGGGTTGATATAGCTCTGAGGTAGGACACTGAAGGTGTATCGCTGTTCTTGCCAGCTTAAGGCAAACAGGTTCTGGTGGTCCTTCGAAACAGGTATGAAGAAAAAGGCATTAGCCAGATCAACAGCTGCATACCATGTACCAGGAGATGTATTAATTTGCTCAAGCAATGAAACTATATCTGGAACAGCAGCTGCAATTGGAGTTTCACCACCTGGTGAAGTTTTGAGTAATCCACTGTCATTCTCCAAGATCCATCTATTTTTTGCACGGGCCAAAAAGGTGAGTTGAATGGGGATGTGGTGGCTATCACCACCTCTGTATCCTTCAAGTCCTTGATGGTGGCATTAATCTCTACAATCCTTCCAGGAATGCAGTATTGCTTTTGATTTATATTTTGCTAGGTAGGGGCAGTTCTAATGGATTCCACTTGGCTTTTCCTACTATAATAGCCCTCTCTCCATTTGTCAGGGATCCAGGGTTGGGGTTCTACCAGTTGCTGAGTGTATATATTCCAATATGCATTCTGGAACTGGGGAAGTCACTACAGGATGGATTCAGGGACCCACTAGGCCTACTGTGAGATGGACATGAGCTAAGACTCCATTAATAACCTGACCTCCATATGCCCCCACTTTGACTGGTGGGCCACAGTAGTGTTTTGGCTCTCCTGGAATTAGTGTCCATTTAGAGCTAGTATCCAGTAGTCCCTGAAAAGTCTGATTGTTTCCTTTTTCCCAATGAACAGTCACTCTTGTAAAGGGTCATAGATCCCTTTGGGGCAGGCTGGGAGAAAGATTAACAGCATAAATTTTTGGCAGTGTTGTGGAGTCCTTCCTCAAGGGTACCCAGCTTCCCCTTCATTCAAGGGGTTTTGGGTCTTTAAACTTGCTCAGGTCTGGGAATTGATTGAGGGGTCATGCCTCTCTATTCTGGCGATTCAAGTTAGACTGCTTGTCTTACTCATCTAGTGCTGCTACAACAGAAATACCACAGGTGGATGGTTTTAATGAAGAGAAGTTTATTTCCTCATAGTCAAAGTAGGCTAAAAGTCCAAATTCAGGGTGTCAGCTCCAGGAGAGGCCTTTTCCTCTGTCAGTCTTCTCATCAATGTTCCCCCGGACTAGGAGCTTCTCCACACAGGGACCCTGGTCCAAAGGACACGCTCTGCTCCTGGCACAGAATGGTTTGAGGTGCCCCTGTCTCTCCGCTCACTTCCGTCTTTTATATCTCAAGAGATTGCCTCAGGACGCAATCCAGTCTTGTAGATCCAGTCCTGCCTTACTAACACAACTGACACCCATCCTCCCTCATTAACATCATAGAGGCAGGTTTACAATATACAGGAAAATCACACAGTACCAGGAATCATGGCCTAGCCAAATTGATACACAATTTTTTGGGGGACATAATTCAAACCATGACACTGCTGTTCACTTTACCTAGAATTTTTACACGTGTACACATTGTCATGGATTGAATTCCTTCCCCAAAAAATATGTGTCAACTTGGTTAGGCCATGATTCCCAGTATTGTGTGGTTGTCCTCCATTTTGTGATTGTAATTTTATGTCAAAGAGGATTAGGGTGGGATTGTAACACCCT